GTGCTCTGCTGACAAAGTGGTACGAGATCGTTATCTTGTCCAAGCAAACTACCGAAAGGAAGAGAGGTGGCTTTGTTTCCATTAGATAAGGAACGTTCTTACTTATTTTAAACAGAAATGCTGCACTTTGTGGGAGTTAAACCTGAGATAAATGAGTGCGATGAAACTGCAGATGTAGCCCATAGTAACACGGTGTGGGACTAGTTGCCAGATCCTGCCACAGGCTTCTGAGGGTGCGCTGGCCTCGTGGTGCCCACAGCTATGCCTAGCTGAGGAAGTTGAATCCCATTTGTCCCATTTCCCAAGGTCCCGAGTTCAAGCTCCACCCACAACCCATCTATCCCAAGGAAGCCATAGCAGACTCATAAACCCAACATGTGGCCCCACCACTAGAGGGAGACAAATCGCCAAACCATCCATCTCAGTTTAGAACGTCTCGAAACATCTCAAATGCTGACATTTTCCGGTGCAGAAAAGGGACGTGTAAAATCCATGGTATGGCCACATCTTAAATACTGCGCACGGATGTGGTCTCCTCATCTCAAAAACAATATACGGGCATTAGAAAAGATTCAGAGAAGGGCAACTAAAATGATGAGGGGTTTGGAATGGGTCCCATATGAGAAGAGATTAAAGAGACTAGGATTTTTCATCTTGGAAAAGAGGAGACTAAGGAGGGATATGACAGAGGTCTATAAAATCATGAGTGGTGCGGAGAAAGTGAATAAGGAAAAGTTATTTACTTGTTCCCATAATATAAGAACTAGGGGTTACCAAATGAAATTAATGGGCAGCAGGTTTAAAACAAATAAAAGGAAGTTCTTCTTCACACAGGGCACAGTCAATCTGTGGAACTCCTTGCCAGAGGAGGTGGTGAAGACTTGGACTATAAAAGGGTTTAAAAGAGAACTAGATAAATTCATGGAGGTTAAGTCTACTAATGGCTATTAGCCAGTATGGGTAAGGAATGGTGTCCCTAGCCTCTGTTTGTCAGGGTATGTCTACACTAGCTCATTAGTTCGAGCTAGGTAGGGTAATTAGGGAAAGCGGAGTTGCAAATGAAGCCCAGGATTTAAATATCCCGGACTTCATTTGTATGTTCCCAGGTGCCGCCATTTTTAAATCCCCCTTAGTCCGAACTCCGTGCCCGCGGCTACACACGGCATGGAGTAGATAGTTCGAATTAAAGATCCTAATTCGAACTACTGTTACTCCTCGTGGAATGGAAAAAAGTGCCCTCTTTTCCAAACTGTGGTATGCGAGTTTCATGGACGTGGCCAACAACTGCTGTGTTTGGATAAGCTGGCTTTAAACAAGTACTCGAGGGCATGTCTACACTACGGAAAAGATCGACCCTCTGGAGGTTGATCTTCTAGCATTTGATTTAGTGGGTCTAGTGTATACTAGGGATGTGAGCGACTAGTCTACTATCCGATAAACAAATGCTTATCGGACAGTCGACACTAGTCGACTAGTCACTTCCCCCGCCCTTGCTGTCTCTATCAGAAAGAGGCAGCAAGTCGGGGAGGGGTGCTTCAAAGCTGCAGCGCCACGTGGAGCCCGGGAGAGCAAGGGAACCCTGGCTGCCATGCGGCGCTGCTGCTTTGAAACGCCATGGGGAGCATGGGGCCAGAGGGGGGTACTTGAGTCCCCCACTGGCCTCGTGTGCCCCACTGTAACAATAGGGCTTTTCTGTAGCCATGCTGGAAGGCCTGTGCTAGACCTGAACCAAAGCTGCCTTCTGCAGCCAGACTGAAGAGCAGCAGCCATTCCTGTAAGGCCTGGAGCCACACTCACAGTTTCATCTAAATGGTATTACAAAGTGTCACACCAGGCTGTGAGGAGGGGACTTTGCCCTGATCGCTCCCCCACTGTCACCAGATAAAGAAACAAATCTGAAGAGGGGTAAAGAAAACTTAAGTCACACCATTCTGTCTGGCAAGAAACTGCTTCTCAATAGAGCATGGTGTGGAATCCTCATTCTATGATCATTGTCACTACATTTTCCTACTGTTTGACTGTGTGATCTCTGTCTGGTTTGTAACTGTTTCTGTCTGCTGGATAATTAATGCTGCTAGGTGTAAATCAGTTAAGGTGGTGGGGTATGATTGGTTAGGTAATATTGTTATGATTGGTTAGTAAAATTATACTAAAATAATTGGTTACGGTCTAGCTAAGCAAGACTAAGGTTTCATTATATAAACTGGGGTTCAAGAAGAAGAAGAAGATCAGAAGTAACAGAAGGACTAGGAGGAGGGGGGAAGACCTGGAAAAGAAGAACTCATCTCTGAGACACAGCCTAAGACCAGAGAAACTGATATTGCCTGGCCAACAGAGGAAGTCTGCCTGCCTTTATCAGGACTGGTGAGCATGACACTGTGGCTACGTCTAGACTGGCATGATTTTCCGGAAGTGCTTTTAACGGAAAAGTTTTCCGTTAAAAGTATTTTCCGAAAAGAGCGTCTAGATTGGCACAGACGCTTTTCCACAAAAGCACTTTTTGTGGAAAAGAGTCCCTGGCCAATCTAGACGCGCTTTTCTGCAAAAACGCCCCAACCGCCATTTTCGCCATCGGGGCTTTTTTGCGCAAAACGAATCTGAGCTGTCTACACTGGCCCTTTTGCACAAAAGTTTTGCACAAAAGGGACTTTTGCCCGAACGGGAGCAGCATAGTATTTCCACAAGAAGCACTGATTTCTTACAGTAGGAAGTCAGTGCTTTTGCGGAAATTCAAGCGGCCAGTGTAGACAGCTGGCAAGTTTTTCCGGAAAAGCGGCTGATTTTCCGGAAAAACTGGCCAGTCTAGACACAGCCTGTGTGCTTAGCATGTGCGCTCTGCTTGTTTGGGAATTGTCAATAAATAGAGGATAAGGACATTACTGTGCGAGGCTCTTTCAGTGGCTAAAGATCCTGCCAACCCTGAGCCCTAGGAATTGGGTGAGGGTGGGTGTGTAAATTCACAGAGTTGCACCTTGAGTCCTAGGAAGTGGGTAAAGGTGTGTGTCCCTACAGTGCAGGAGGGATAGAGAAATTTGTGCGGGTAACACCACAGCGCTTCTGCCTTTGAAGTGCAGCAAGAGCCCTGGGGCGATTGCTACACTTCAAAGGTGGAGGTGCCCTTATCGCCTAATCGATTAGTCAGTTAATCTAAGTGTAACATTCCTAGTATGAACTCGACACCACTATTAAGAATATAGCAGTTGGTTCTGCTGGTGTGGACGGGAGCAGGTTTGGAAATGAGGATCTCAGAGGCATTGTTCCACTGGGAAAAAAGACACAGCACTGACCTACGTAGAGATGGCTTTAGCTGTGGAGGGGAAAGCAATCTGGGGACAACAGAGGGTGGATATTAGGTTAAAAGGGGATGTCCACAATCTTGTTATTGGCCTCTAGGAAGCTGACTCCAAACCCACTGAAATCCACTGGGGGCTTTCCATTGGTGTCCATGGGGTTTGGCTCAGACACGAGGGGATCTCCTCAGAGAACAGCCTCGTCTTGTCCCAGTGTCATTAGCAAAACACCCAGTTTGCATTTGCACCAAAGGCCGAGCCGAGTGCTAGCAGCTGCGAGTCTTCCGTTGTTGTGGGGATGCGTCAAGTGACATTTTGGCTTTTCCCACCTCAGTTCCTCAACCACAGAAGCCACAGCACAGTTACCACTAACGACAACACGCCGCCCTTAAAGAGTGACAGTGCGAAGCACCACGGCCCCTTCCACTGATACCGCACTGTCATGAGGACACAAGAACGGCCAGACTGGGTCAGACCAAAGGTCCATCCGGCCCAGTATCCAGATGCCCCCAGAGAGAATGAACAGAACCGGGAATCCTCAGGTGATCCCTCCCGTCACCCATTCCCAGCGTCTGACAAACAGCGGCTAGGGACACCGTTCCTACCCATCCTGGCTAATAGCCATTGATGGACTGACTCTCCCTGAACTCATCTAGCTCTGTTTTGAACCCTGTGAAAGGGTAAATGCCAGTAAATTCATGGGAAGGCCGCATGCCTAGCACTGAAAGTTCCCAGTCTGAGCGGTACTTTGGCATTATAAAAGGTTCAGAAAAGAGCAACTAAAATGATGAGGGGTTTGGATCGGGTCCCATATGAGGAGAGGCTAAAGAGACTGGGACTTTTCAGTTTAGAAAAGAGGAGACTGAGGGGGGATATGATAGAGGTCTATAAAATCATGAGTGGTGCGGAGAGGGCGAATAAAGAAAAGTTATTTACTTGTTCCCATAATATAAGAACTAAAGGACACCAAATGAAATTAATGGGCAGCAGGTTTAAAACTAATAAAAGGAAGTTCTTCTTCACACAGCGCACAGTCAACCTGTGGAACTCCTTGCCAGAGGAGGCTGTGAAGGCTGGGACTGTAACAGAGTTTTAAAAAGAGCTAGATAAATTCATGGAGGTTAGGTCCATCAAAGGCTATTAGCCAGGGGATAGAAATGGTGTCCTTGGCCTCTGTTTGTCAGAGGCTGGAGATGGATGGCACACGACAAATCGCTTGATCATTGTCTTCGGTCCACCCCCTCTGGGGCACCTGGCACTGGCCGCTGTCGGCAGACAGGAAGCTGGGCTGGATGGACCTTTGGTCTGACCCAGTGTGGCCGTTCTTATGTATAGACGCTGTCGGCAGACAGGAAGCTGGGCTGGATGGACCTTTGGTCTGACCCAGTCTGGCCGCTCTTATGAAAGCTGGGGCAGACCCAGGTGGATTTTCATTAGGAGCCAGTGTTGAGGGAGCCCAGTTCTCAGCCCCGGGGGTCAAACTCAGCGTTGTGGCTTCCGGAAGAAAAGCAACAGCCGCTCAGAGCAGGTCCCACTGGGCGCCGGACAGTCAGCGGAGCGCGGCACTTCCGACGGCCGAAGCAGAAGCCGAGCCGTCTTTTCTAGCGGGACTATTCGTGCTTGGGCGCCGTGCAGAATCACCACATTAAACAGCCACGGCTGACAGCGGAGCGCCGCGCCGAGAAACACCAGACAGACTCGCATACTTACCGCTGGGGAGCTCCCGCCCGGCGGTCACAGTCTCCAGCCAAGACAAGATGTCGGTAAGGCAAAGACTTGGCCGCTGGCGTGGAGGTTCAGCCAGGCAAGCAGAGGCAGAGGGGGCGGAGCGCTGAAATATGCCTTCAGAACCCCTCTGCCCACTGGAGTGTTTCTCCTGCAGGAAAGATCAGATCAGACTTGTTCATCCACCCTGGAGCCACCAGGCTGGAACGAGCAGCCAGGGCTAGCGAGCGCCCTGCCCTGATCCAGCCGGGCTCAACCTTACGCGCATGGCCAGTAGCGCAAAGGTCATTGAGCTTACTCCCGCGCCCCATGGCAAACGGGCTTAAGCTGAATCCGCCCTAATGCGTCTGTATGAAAGTGACCGTTTAATAGGGGGGAAAGCGTGGCCCAATGGGCAGGGGATCTGGGGGGGGCTTCCCCCCCCCCGCAAAGATGATCAGCTGGAGTCTTAAGTCCTGCTCGGAGCCCTGCCAAGGAATAATTCTGGCTTCCTTCACGGGAGTGAATTTCGCTCTAGAACGGGGGAGGGCAATGATTTTTTGCTGGGAGCCACTTTGATTTTTTTAAGTGGCCCCAGGCCATACTGGAAAGGGCGGAGCCTCAAATGGAAGGGGCGGGGCCATGATGCTTCCGGCTTTCCCGGCCACAGACCATGATTGGTCTGGGGGTGGGGGAGCCCCTTTGCCTCCCCCCTTCCCACTAAGTATCCATGTCCCTGGAGGTGGGAAGAGACATCCTGTGCTCCCCCACGCCCAGGCCAATCAGGGCCAGGGGAGCACGCGAAGCCTCCTCCCGCCCTGCCAGGAGCACACGGCACTTCAAAGCGCTGAGCACTCCTCATGGGGCAGGGGAAACGTCGTGCGCTTCCCCCTGCCCCCAAGCCCTAATTGTCCTGAGGGTGGAGGAGCGGCAGGGCCTCCGCGGGCCAGTTCAACCCGCTTGGTGGGCCGGATCCAGCCCACAGAGGCCCTTTTGCCCACCCCTGCCCTAGAAGAAGAGGACGCATTCGACCAGCTACAAAGCAAGCCGGCATCTCCTTCTCTCTCCCTCCATGTAAGCAACCCGGCCTTTTCCTCATTGAAACGATCCTTCTTCCTCCCAGAAAGGGGATTTTTCTTTTTCCATAAAGGACAGCGATGGGCGGGGAGACTTAGAGAAACCCCAACGTTCCAGGGGTGCCCTATATAACTGTTCATTGCCGACAACCAAGTTGTTTATAAACAAGTGCATTCCCCATTAGCTCAATGACTCCCCGCTCACAATACAGTTCTCGATATACGGAGCATGATTAATTTCTTGAGCCGCCTCAGGGAAGGGAAAAAAAATTAAGAGCTGGAACAATTATTAATACATGGCGGGGGAGGCATAGAAAGCTTCCTTCCCAGAACTTTGCATTTCTTGGCCATTATCTTTGCTTTGTTTCACAACTTGGTCGGTTGGAGGTAGTGAGGGGGCCTGGTCGCTTCTTTTGCCTTCATTTTTTTCTCCCTTTCTTTTGAAAACATCCCCAGCCAATCATTGCGTTGTTCAGGCGTATTTTCACATTTGTTACTCAGAAAGTAAAAATCAATCCAATGAACTCCTTCAGCCAGAATGAACACGCCCTGTTCCCTTAGGAGTAGGGGTGTCAACGTGTAGTCGACTACACGATTAACCGATAAGCTTGGGCTTATCAGTCAGTCCCATTGACTACACATGCTGCCTCACCCCCGCTGCCTCTGAGGGGAGGTGGGAGCCAGCAGGCGCAGGAAGCTGGCTTTTAAGCTGGCTCTCCATGCATGCTGGCTTCTGTGGAGCTGTTTCCCCCTTCCCACGCCTCCCTCAGGGGCAGCTGCGCAGGGTGAGGGGCAGGAGGGAGCCATTACACGCGGGATATGACTTTCAAGCCGGCTCCTCACGAGCACTGGCTCCCACAGAGCCACGTGCCCCCTCCCCGTGCTGCTGCCTTTGATAGAGAGGCAGCTGCACGGGTGTGGGGGCACAGGCAGGAGCCATCGCACACGGGAAACGACTTTCAAGCCAGCTCCCTGTGCACATCGGCCCCCCTGCGCTGCTGCCTCTATCAGGGGAGGCAGGCTGGAGCCAGTGCTCGCGGGGAGCTGGCTTAACAGCTGGCTCCCTGCAAGCACTGGCTTCCCCCTGCCCCTCCCCCCCCACCACACGTGTAAACATGCAACTGCTAAAATCGCTAGTGGTTCCACATATACCCCAATGCTCCAACAGTTAACATCCCTACCTCTGAGCGAAAAATAAACCCCAGCACAGCACCAGGGACAAGGGCAAAGCTAGGATTCAATGGAGAGTGATTTCCCTTGGTAAAAACGAAGGCTGGGGGTCACCATTCAGCTCTGGCTGCACTGTCTGTTCCGCTGTCGTACGCATCTCCACTATTAAAGACTTTACCACTAAATAACTCAGCATCGGAATATGGTCACAGGACCTGTGTCTGCAGGCAACCCTGCCCTGATTCACCGTGTGTTCACACGAACGGGTTAAAAACCTGGCTAGCTGGTAGTCTCCTTAACTGCCAGACTAGCTGGAACTTCCCCCAGCCTGCTGAGAGCTAGGTCCCAAAAGGCAGCCAGGGTGGTTTTTTCATGCTCACAGGTTGATCCAGCAAGTGATAAATGCCTCGTGGCCTTTCCCCCTTGCCAAACGCAGCATTTCCGCTCTCAGTCTTGGAGGTAGGGCCCCGTCGCTGAACAAAGCGAGGAAGGGTTTCTCCAGCTTCCAGTAGTTGGGGAGGTTTTCCACTGTGATTTCTGGCTGCAAGAGAACAAAGGGAGGCGGGTTTTAGGGAGAAAGGATCAGAGGATCAGAAGAACGCAGGGGCCAGTTTTATGGAGAAGGGCCATTTACACCTGGGGTGGAAGTGTTAGGATTGAAACTTTTATTCTTTTTTATATTTGTATTTTAGGTTTAGTAATGTAGTAATGTAAGGTAAAATATAATCATATTTAATATTGTAGTAAGTCAAATCCTTTAGTTAAGTATATATCTCCTATAGTTCCTTGTTCTAAAGTGTAGTGAGTAAAGAGATAGAGTTTTGGTATTATGTCTGTGTTAAAGAGACTAGAGGAATGTTGAAGGCTAAGGCCTTAACTGTTTGATTTACAGTGCCTTTTTGCTTAGCCCAGTGCAGATACTGATGTTATGCTCTTCCTCGAGAGTCCTTGTAAGAGATTGTTTATGTGTGAATGTGGCATGTATGTGTCGAGATAAAGGTGCAAAAGTTATTGCTCAGAACCAGATGGCCAAAGAAGGAGGGGTGAGCGTGGGTGAAAACTAGACTACCCGGCGTCAGAGAAAAACCATCTATAACCATCAATGTGTGCCCCTACTCACAGGGTTATTGGATTATTGGCCGATTGACGGCCTTAAAGCAGAGCCAGCACCCCTGAAAGACGACCGATTACAGGATGAGCTTTGAAAATGTTTTGGGAACACTGACAGAAAAAAGATAACACTCCAGTCACAGGCCAACACAGCGGAATCCATAGACTTCAACAGAGAGAAGGATTCTAAAAGCAGGGTGCTTTGCTATGGAACTCTGTGTTCATCTTGCCACCAACTCCAAAGGAGAATCAGATTGATTGACCGACAAAGGCCCTGCTCTCCCCGTGTTCAATCTAACCAGCCACTAGATTGATCCAGACTCTGGACTGGTAACTATAACTTCGTCTGGCGGGACTGTGTGTATGGTGTTTGTGTGTGTGTGTGTGGCTGAAAAGCATATGCAACTGTTGTATTCTCAATAAATGCGGCGTACTGCCTTTTCCCCTATAAAAGATCTCGTGTGCTTCATTTAAGCAGAACAGAAACTGCTCAGATTAAGGGCACGTTTCACACGCCTGGAATGCAGACACATGAATCCAGCGGACTTAAAAATGCATGTGGGCATGAAATTCACCCTTCTCCGGTGGAATGGTGCAAGGCTTAGACACCACTCAGACCCCTCCAGGGGACACAGAAATGATCCTCAAAGGTCGTTAGGCAACTAACTCATTGGCTTGAATGGGAGTTAGGTGTCTAAAGCCCTTTGAGAATATGGGCCTTGCCCAAACTCACTCGGCAGAATAGAATCCAGATCTCCTAGGCCAGTGCCCGACCCACTAGGCCATGCTGCCGTTCAGGCAATGAATGACTTCCGTGTAGCTACACTGATCCTTACTAGATGAGGACCTGGCTGTACCCCCTTATTGTTTCACGGAGTTAGTTGATAAAAGCATGGAGCCAGTCCGTTCAAAAAACCCAGCATCCCAGCACTTGTCTAAACATGTCTATGAACACATCATAGTACCATAGACCACTAAACCTGGAAGGGACCTCGAGGGGTCATCAAGTCCAGTCCCCTGCCCTCACGGCAGGACCACACACCATCTAATCATCCTGACAGTGGATATCGCAGATGGTCAGGCTCGATATCATGAACTCCCAATGTAATCAAGAAAGCATGTTTATTTTTACCGTAAGCAGCAATTATACTTACAAACGTTCCCAGTAATTCGGATCTGATGGTCTGAACAATATCTGGTGCACTCTCTTCCGAGAGCGGGATGCTATCTATTCTGTGATCTTCATGCCTGGCTAGGAGCAGCGCTGGCAGAGGCATGGCATATTTACGGGCCCTACAGGAAAATGGCTTTATTACAACAAACAAATGCAACATCTTACGCACACCGGGCCTGCTGCAACACGTCATCGAGGTCCTTAGGGACTAGGCAGAAATGTGAGATTGACTAAATACCCCGTGGGGGAAGGCTGAGGAGGGAGAGAGATTTGAAGTCATCAGGGTCTCAATTCTGGAAGGTCTTGAGCACTTCAGGATACAGCAAAGCATTTGCAGGCTAAGCTTAACTCCCACACTGTAAGGTCAGAAGGTACCATTGTGGTCATCCTCATCCTGTGACTAGAGAACTAGCAAGATTGTGACATGACAAGGAAGAGAAAGTTCAGCAATGGAGAGGGGAAAAAACTCCTTCAAATTGAGACATCAAGGCTACGTCTACACTGGCACCCCTTTCCGGAAAAGGGATGCTAATGTAGACTTTGGAATAGGCAAATCCGCAGGGGATTTAAATATCCCCCGCGGCATTTGCATTAACATGGCTGCCGCTTTTTTCCGGCTTGGGGAAAAGCCGGAGAAAAGCGCCAGTCTAGACATTATTCTCCGGAAAATAAAGCCTTTTCCGGAGGATTTCTTATTCCTAATCTGAACTAGCTAGTCCGTGCCACGTGTAGCCGCGTGGCACGGGGTCCGAACTAGCCAACATTTAAAAATGGCGCCGGCCGGCTTTATGCAAATGAAGCCCGGGAAATTCAAATCCCAGGCTTCATTTGCAACTCTGTATGACTACATTACCCCCCCTAGTTCGAACTAGAGGGGTAGTGTAGACATACCCATATTGTGGGAAGGAGTAAATACCACTCCCTTATCTACTTTCTCTACACCAGTCATGATTATCCTATACATAAGAACATAAGAACGGTCGTACTGGGTCAGACCAAAGGTCCATCTAGCCCAGTATCCTGTCTGCCGACAGTGGCCAGCACCAGGTGCCCCAGAGAGGGTGGACCGAAGACAATGATCAAGCGATTTGTCACCTGCCATCCTTCTCCAGCCTCTGACAAACAGAGGCCAAGGACACCAGTTTATCCCCTGGCTAGTAGCCTTTGATGGACCTAACCTCCATGAAATTATCTAGCTTCTCTTTAAACTCTATTATAGTCCTAGCCTTCACAGCCTATCCCCCCTTAGTTGTCTCTTTTCCAAGCTGAAAAGTCCCAGTCTCACTAATCTCTCCTCAAATGGAAGGTGCTGACCATCTGTCTACAGAGCCGGGCTGGTATTATGGCCCTGTCTACACTAGGGCTGGCAGCCGTATCTGAGCAGTTACAGTGACGCCCCGGAGAGGAAGGGGGGGGTGGAATACTGTCCTTAAAATACAACAGAATTCGCTGAAATGCAGATCAGTTCATATTCTTACCCAAAATTTAAAAAACAACCACCACCCCACACCAAGACACTTACAGCACCAACGCGTCATCTTCAGCATACAGTCCTGTCGTCACACATCCCCGGAGCTCCTTTCCCGCTTCTACAAACGCTTCCCGTGCTGTAAAAGCACATAAATAAGTAAACAAACCTCCCAGAGAAAAGTGTATTGTTCCCTTCGTGTATCAGAGAGGGCAGGCGAGAACAGGTTTCAAGGTGGGTGGCGTCCCAGTTTTTGAAGGCTGAAGTTGTTAAGAACAGGTCGGACAAACACCTGCTCAGGACACACTGGGTCCAGCTCAGCATTCCTACAGTCACACGCTGTTGGCAGCAACGGCAAAGTCTGGGGCAGAGGTTGTTGTTTTGCACCTCCTGTTCTATGATGGTGACTCCTCGACACTATGACAATACAAGCAATTACCAATAACATGGAACACCAACACCCTGATGGAAGGCCAACACAAAGCACATCGCCTTACTGATTTTAAATGTACATGCCTTTAAATCCAGTGAGCCAATTTTCTTCAGACTTGGCTTGACTCTTAAATCTTGGCGAGACCCTTTCGATGTATTATTTATCATGTAGATGTCTAGGAGTCCCAGGCATGGACCAAGACCGCACTGTGCCAGGTGCTGTACAAACACTGATCAAAAAGACGGCCCTCTGCCCCAAAGCATTCACCAGCTCAGTCACAGGCAACAATTTCATCAAAAAAGGACGGTGCTGCAATTTCTTTTTTGGTGTTGCCCTAAATTATAGCTGCCACAAAAATGTTCTAAGCCATGTAAGCAGAACTTGGGAGGCCTCCGTCCAGGGTAGCTTGGGTTCAGAAAACAGCTTATTTAATTAGAACTTGCAAATTACAGTTGTGGGGGTGAATCTCGTGAGCTACAGGTCTAGCAATGACAGATCAAAGTCCTTACAGCTCTATTGCTAAACCCAGCACAGTCTGGAATCTCTGTGGAGTGAGTAGCTCCCATTTTTTTATCTTCCTCCTCACACACTTAATCCCCCCTAAATGCAAAAATCCTGCACACTTTCTTGATTAAAGGAGAGATTTCCGACACTCAGGAGAAGCCAGGGTTTTCCAAAAGTTAAAGCCGCAACTTTAATGCAGCCAAGTCACACATAAGTAGCTTTTTATAATCCTCATTCAATGCTAAGCTTCAAACTATTCATTTTTGGTTTTAATGTAAACACAAAAACAGCACAACCCAACCTGAGCATTCAAAAACCATGAGTCAGGCCCTGGTAAAGCATGAAATTGGATGAAAAATAATACATTTGGGGTTCTCTTTCTTTGCCTTCTATTTATGAGTTTTTAGGGGAGGCTCCGGCCACATTTTCATGCTCTTCTCCTTCCATCCCAAGAGCTAGAAACACTCTTTTTAAAGGAAAGCTGAGATTCTCCCATAAATCACATGACTCCAGGAGCTGGGGTTTAAAGCAAAACCACCAGATACCACAAGACTCAGGATAAAATTGTGAGAGCTGGCCATGCTGTAATATAGATAGCATATAAACCATGGATGATAAGCTGATAAGTGCTACTTTAGTTTTTTGGACATTTCCTCATCTTTAAGTTATTGATCAAACAACCTTAACTTTTCCATTGCTGTGCTGAAGGTAGCAGGGCAAAACCAAAATACGCTGCAGAGGAAGAACTACTTTAAAAAGGGAGGGCAAAAAAGATCAGCAGTGAATCGAGACGAATTGCCACGTCCCATTACTTCTTTGTCAATACAGGGAGAAGGGGGTGAGGTAATACCTTTCATCTCCCTAATGTCCTGTGCTGGAATCAGCATGGCTCCCACAAGACCGTATAAACCAATACAAAACCGTTACTGGGACGGCAGCAGTGTTCTCCCTCATTTTTTCCATTCGTGTGGCTATTTTACGTCATGCGCGGAATAAAGTTTAGGTGCACTGAGGCATTTGCCAATGTGCACCACCCATAGAAACAATGAACCTAGCTGTGGGTGCTCTGCTAATCAGAGAATCTGAATCTCTCTGGACACTGGACAGACGGGCAAGGAAGGTTTTCTACGAAGTGTCCAGGTGAATACAAGACACACAGACTCCAATTATGGAAAGTGCCTTGTCAGGTGCTCAAACCTAACCTTATTCAGAGAGCATTTAAACAGGAGCCTGGGCCCTCAGCGTGTGCTTAGGTGCCGTCCTACATCCAACAAAGGTGTTTCCTTGAACTGGGCCTGCACTCAGCTGAATCAGACGTCAATGAATTCATCCGCATGCTTGTGGCCTGGCTCTTCCCTTTCTCTCACGCGCCTCTGTTGATCCCCAGCCTTTCGGGGGCTGTCTGAGGCAAAGCAGAGCTCCTTGCCTAGCCCACTTTTGGAGGGATCCTTGTGGCTGGCAGCTGTTGTGTTTTCCGCAGAAACCATGAAATTAATAAGGGATGGTCCACAAGATAACGAACCCTCCCAAAAGCATTGCTGGTGCGATTCGCCATCCAACATTAAAGGGGGTTCTGCTTGCATTCCCCCCGATCAGCTCTGCGCACAGTGGGCCCCCGATAAAGCTTTGATGCTAAAAGCATGTGGCAGTCTAAGCTGGTTTTGGCGATGAGCGACGGCCCAGGACTAACAGGCAGCGTAACTGACAAGCATGAGAGCTCTGTCCCCCTACATAAGAGTTTCGCTGGAGAAAGAAACCTTGGGCAGGATCCAGCAATGAACATTCCCCAATCTTAGCCCGGTCTTGTGAAATCACACTCTACCCAGCAGTAACGCGGAGCAGAAGTAGCATGTCTAGCCTCGGGATGAGGGCTGCCGTTACCTCTGGACATGAGTCGGCTGTTTGTAAATGAAAACCACGCTAGTGACTCTTCAGCACAGCAATGGAAAAGTTCTAGGGCAACTGCAAGTTGGCCAACTTTCAGGAGACTTCACATGGGCCAGCTTTTAAGTCGCCTGAAAGATCATAATGGTTAGGTGAACATATTGCAAGAGAGACACAGCATAATACTGGACAGAGGCACAAATTATGCCCATTGCAGACAGGTGTTTGTTATTGGCTCAACAGCAGACATAATTTAAAACGCTGTCCAGAGAAACAAAGAATAGTTGTAGCTGTAACGAGTGTTTCATCCTGTACCCACCATCATGGCTCTGTGCCAGGCAGGACACGTGCCATGCAGTGTTCCCTCTAATTTTTTCCATTAATGTGCAGAATAAATGTTATGTGCACCATAGAATCATAGAATAATAGGACTGGAAGGGACCTCAAGAGGTCATCGAGTCCAGCCCCCCGCCCTCAAGGCAGGATCAAGCTCCGTCTACACCATCCCTGACAGATGTCTATCTAACCTGTTCTTAAATATCTCCAGAGAGGGAGATTCCACCACCTCCCTTGGCAATTTATTCCAATATTTGACCACCCTGACAGTTAGGAATTTTTTCCTAATGTCCAATCTAAACCTCCCCTGCTGCACTTTAAGCCCATTACTCCTTGTCCTGTCCTCAGAAACCAAGAGGAACAAATTTTCGCCTTCCTCCTTGTGACACCCTTTTAGATATTTGAAAACCGCTATCATGTCCCCCCTTAATCTTCTTTTTTCCAAACTAAACAAGCCCATGGCATGTGCAGATGTGCACCACCAGTAGAAACACATGCTAGGAGCTGTGGGTGCTCTGCTAATCTGCTGGGCAGCACCTGAATCGCTCCTGGGTGGCCACTCAACCACTCAGTTTACAGGGAACACTGGTGCCAGGCCCCCTTTACAAGCCTGTACAACTGTCAGGTTTTGCTTTCAACTCTTCTTGCTGTTCCTGCGTAAACAAACATTTTAAGAACATAAGAACGGCCAGAGTGGATCAGACCAATGGTCCATCTAGCTCAGTGTCCTGTCTGCCCACAGCGGCCAATGCCAGATGCCCCAGAGGGAGGGAACACAACAGGTAATACTCATGTGATCCTTCCCGTCACCCATTTCCAGGCAAACAGAGGCTAGGGACACCATTTCTACCCATCCTGGCTAATAGCCATTGATGGACCTAACCTCCATGAATTTATCTAATTCTTTCTTGAACTCTGTTAAAAGCCTGGTCTTTACAACCTCCTCTGGCAAGGAATTCCACAGGTTGATTGTGGAAATTAAATGTAATGTTGATAAATGTAAAATAATGCACATTGGAAAAAATAATCCCAACTATCTATACAATGAAGAAAAACCTTCCATTTGCTGGTTTTAAACCTGCTGCCTATTGATTTCATTTGATGACCCCTAGTTCTTGTGTTATGGGAACAAGTAAATAACTTTCTTTTTCAATTTGCTCTTCCTATGGGACCCGTTCCCAACCCCTTAGTCCTTTTCTGAATCTTTTCTCACTGCCCAGCCCAAGCCTACTCCGTGATCCTGCCGTGCAGCTAAAACGCTGCATCGGAGGCATCGCTCACTTCCCAGGCAACAGGTGAGGTACAAAAGGACCCAGAGAGAACGCCATATTATTTGTGTTACGGTAACACCCAGTGGTTTCAGGGCTCCATGGCAGCACCTCCAGTTCATGGGACCTCCCCCAGGAAATCTATGGCAGAAGCCATCACTCTGTGTGCCTATCGCAGTGGGGTCCTGGCCTATGTCTGGGGCTCCTGGGCACGCACACAGGGCCAATAAATAACACTAATAGGGGGAGCAGAATTACCCGAGCACCTGGCCATCTGAGTGGAGATCAGGGCCCCAGGGCTGTGCAAACACATAGCAGAAGAGCTCCTGCCCCGAGGAGCCTACAATCTAAACGGACAAGACGGACCACGGCTGCAACAAGGGAAGCATCGTGCAATTCAGCAAATCAATGAAACACTTGCTCGAGTCCCACTGATTTCAACTGCCTCCGCCCCTGTGCACATGGGAGAGCTGCTTAAGGAAGGCAGTGTGACCTAGTGGCTAATGCGCTGGACTGGGGTGCTGGAGACCAGGATTCTCTTCCTGGCTTTGCTGCTGGGTGACTCTGGATGAGTCACGGTCTCACCTGTGTCTTAGATAATCTTTCGACCTCCTTTGTGAAGTGCTTGGAGATCTACTGCTGCAAGTGCTCTATAAAAAGCGAGATCTTGCTGTTATAACTAAGTTGCGGGTGTGAATGTTGGGAGACTCTGAACTCCTAGCAGATATGCAGTATGAACCTCTTCCCCGTCTGTCACCAAGAGCGTGCAGCAAAGCACTCACCGTTTTACGGCGAGTCTTCCTGCACTGGGAGTGTTTCTTAAAGCCCCAACTCCTGGAATCATGTGGTATGGGGAGACTATCAGCTCCTGGTTGCAGAAAACGGCTAATAAATGTGACCTCCCCCCTTGAGGCTCAAACGCCAGACTGGAAATCAACAGCACACAATATTCAGCGCTGCATGCCAGTTTCCATGCAACCTCTGAAAACCCTCCAGTCGGGCAATGTTTTAACGAGCAGCCAGTAAACCAGAAGTTGTGTCTGTCTCATCTAGGAGTCTTGCAGGTGCTTCCTAATTACATGGCTAAGCCAGTATTTAAGAAAGCATTCTGCTTCTGGCATCTTTAAAGAATCAACCAATTATTGGTATCCAATCAAGTTTCTCTTCTATGTGATCTCCAATTTTTCTAGGAAATCCCTCTGACTGTTCTTTAGAGACAATGTCCTAAGGGCTAGCTGCCTGGGGAAATTTGCCAAGATAGCAACATGAGAATAATTCTCTGGAATAAGACCGTTCAGATAGGGCTTACAGCAAAAGCACTATAACTATTTTGGTACACTTCCCCCTGCAGACACGCCTTTAGGTAAACACATATAATAGTTGAATAGTTGTCCATTACAATCTAATCAAAAGTGCAAAAAGTGCATTGATTGTTTTTTTCAGCTGGACATCCTGTTAGTCTAACTTCGGTTCCTGGAAAAGCCAAGACATGACATCATGACTCTCCGGAGTAAAGTGCAAAACTTTTGTCATGGGAAAACTGATCCAATCCTCATTCTAGGAAGCAGAGACCGGCTTTTCCCAGCATCAGGAGACCTGGGATCTGTCCTTGCTCTGTCTGACGTGCTATGGAATGTCAAGCATGTCCCTTACGGTCCCACGTTTTTTAGACGCATCCCGTCATTTTGGATGCTTCGATTTGTCTGTCCCACCCTCGATTGGCTCCAAACTGGCAGATGGTTTTGAAAAGCTGGGCCTTGTGCTTGGTCTCCCCAGTTCCAAAGTAGAGATGAGCACATCCAACATTAGAGAAAGGCTTTAGGCTCTACTGATTAAATTGATCCAAAATCCACGGGGCTACATCTACACTGGCGCGTTCTCATGCAAAAACTCTTTTGCGGAAGAGTTCTTCTGCAAAAACTCTTCCAGAAAAGAGCAACTGCACTGGCATGTGCTTTTGAGCAAGAGCATCCATGCCAGTGCAGACGCTCTCTTGCGCAAGAAAGCTCCGATGGCCATTTTAACCATAGGGCTTTCTTGCGCAAGAAATTCATGTTGCCTGTCTACACTAGCCTCTTCTGGAAGAGCTCTTGTGCAAGAGGGCTTATTCCTGAGCAGAAGCGTCAGAGTTCTCACGCAAGAAGCCCTGATTTTATACATTAGAACGTCAGTTTACTTGTGCAAGAACATGCGGCCAGTATAGACAGGCAGCAAGCTTTTGCACAAGAGCGGCCGCTTTTGCGCGAGATCACGCCAGTGTAGACACATCCTGGGAGTCCGTATGTGTCTTTTCATTAACTTTAATGGGCTTTGGATCTGGCTCCATAGCAGGGCTATATACTATTCTTACCTATCCTACAATGTACCTTAACTATGATGATAGCGGTTTTCAAGTATCTAAAAAGGGAGGAAAATTATTCTCCTTAACTCCTGATGATCGGAGAAGCAACAATGGGCTTAAATTTCAGCAAGGGCAGGTTAGGTTGGACACTAGGAAAAAACGACTTATCAGGGTGGTTAAGCATGGGAATAAATTGCCTAGGGAAGTTGTGGAATCTCCATCACTGGAAATATTAAAGAGCAGGTTGGATAGACATCTATCAGGGATGATCTAGACTAGACGGTGCTTGCTCATCTATCAGGGATGATCTAGATGGTACTGGGTCCTGCTGTGAGGGCAGGGGACTGAACTCGATGACCTCTCGAGATCCCTTCCAGTTCTAGTGTTCTGTGCTTCTATCGCTGATCAATCCCGTACCATGACAGAGGCGATGTGCACTATATACATTTTTTACCCCCTTCCATAAGAATGTGGCTTGTGCATGTATGTCGCAGAAGCCAGGTGCAGCACAGGTCAGAATGCTATGGAACCAGATGTAACCAAGCTGGCTCTTGCAGGCAGAATCCCTTCCCAGCCGGGCTCCCTCTAAATTTCCCCACCCCTGAGCAGAATGAATTTTGTGATGGTGCACCACTGGGGAGGTGATGCGCGACACACTGGTGAATGACTGTCAATCAAGCCAGCCTCTATGAAACAAGCGTGGTGTCACCCCATTCATCACATGCAGCCTGTATTCTAGAACAAGCCAGGGGAAAAAGGCTTTGCAGGAGAATATTCAATCCCAGGAGGTGTGTGCATGGGGACATTAAGAGCTGTGGGACCGAGGGCTGACAACCAAAGCACAGTCTCCACTTCACCTACAACGCCCCACGGCACTGTTACTTTGGCTGCCCCTTTTGGCTGGACACCATTTCTCGCAGAGCACTGCCAGGTGAGGCAGACGCATGCACATCTCTCCCCCCTCCACGGCCAAGCTCCCTCTGCGGAGGGCTGTGATTTAGTGCAACATCTGTGGTCTGAGAGAGGAAAGGGGCCACCGCCTGAGTGGGGCGATCAGTTCCTTTGGAGGACAATCAACAGACCAGCAGTAACAGGTCACTCCACAAACTACAGGAAAAGGATCACCAGAAAACTTCTGACGGGGAGGATTCAACTTGCCAGGACCCAGACCCTGTAAGGGGAGCCATGTGGGTGGCTGGTCCCAGCCCTGAAGTCAATACCAGGGCACGAGGGTCAGCCCACAAGTCCCTGCTTGCAGAACTGGGGTGTACAACATCAGTGTCCAGAGCAGCATCTGGCAGGACTGGGGACCAACCGAAGGAGCACCCCAACAGCTAGGCTGGTCCAGTGGCCGCAGTGTTAAACTAGGACTGAGGACATTTGGATGGGTCACTTCACCCCTATGTGTCCTCTCACCCTTTGGGTGTCTTGCTTATTGAGCCTGTAAGCTCTGGGGCAGGGACTGTCTCCCATGACTTGAACAGCCCATAGTATGATGAGGCTGTGCTCTCAGTTAGGGTACGTCTAGACTACAGGCTTTTGTTGACAGAAGTTTTGTTGACAGATACTGTTGACAAAGCTTCTGTCGACAAAGAGCGTCTAGACTGCATCCAGTTCTGTCGACAAAGCAAGCTGCTTTGTCGACATGACAGTGTAGATGCAAAGGACAGTGTAGATGCAATAACGCCTTCTGTAGAGAGAACTCTGTCGACAAAAGGCGTTATGCCTCGTAGAATGAGGTTTACCGCCGTCAATAAAACTGGAGTTCCATCGATGTTATGTCGACAGAACTCGGCGGCAGTGTAGACGCAGGTATAGTTTTGTCGACAAAAGTCCACTTTTGTCGACAAAACTCTGTAGTCTAGACAAACCCTTAGGGTCTCTGGACACGGCCAGACTCAATGTGAACTCATATCCCCAGTCACATCCTACAGCAAAGAAAGAACCGGTGAGCTCTTCTCCAATGGCAGAAACCCACCCCGTCAGGTCTCAGACAGGGCCTGCTCATGCTGCCAGCCCTGCATTCTCCCAAAGCACCACCTTTACCTTCTTTCATGCCAGGGTGGAAGAGTCCCAGAACTGATGTGCCGCGGCATGACGACGTGTCGGCCCAGACTTCCCCACTTAAATATTCTTCCACCTCTTCTATTGTGCTCAGCTTCAAGGGGCAGGAAATGCTGCTTCTAGAGAAAGGAATGAAAGCAGACGGGGGCTAAAAAATGCCCCCCTCCCCTCCAAAAGAGGCAGCTCTGTTCAAGAAGCAAAAACCACACCAGGATGAGTGCAAGAGAAGACAGCGACCTCAGGGGAAACGCCAGCCAGCTTCTGGGAAGGGAGAGCAGAGCTCTCATGGCGACACATCTGCCAAGGGTTTGCTCTCCCCAGAGGGAGGTGCATGTGGTGAGGAGCGTGGACATGACACTCCAAACAGCAAACAAACTTACGGTGCCTCTCTACTGTGCCAGGCAGTCAAACCAATGGATGGGTGGAGCTATAAGGATAGGGGTGGGCAGCTGTTAAGCTCATTCCTGGCCTCCACCAGCTAAACTTCAAACCTGGCCTCAAAATTAAGATTTTCAAGCTATTACTACGCAAAGGCCTACGGCTCCGGGGCACGCTGGGATAGTCGTGGCACTGGCGTCAAGAGGACACTCACAGCCTGAGGAACCTGAGCAGCGCTGCAGTTCCCAGCATGCCTGTGTACGTCACGGCACCCGCGCCCCTCTCGTACAGCTTGGTAACGGGGAAGTGGGTGACGTTGTGCTTCAGGCAGACGTCGGGCCAGTCCCAGCAGTTTAGCTTAGCCAGCGAAATTCCTTGGGTTCCTGGAAAACAACACCGAAAAAGATTCACAATAAAGTTGGAGAAGCGAAGAGCCAAAGACGAATTGTTCAAGCCGAGAGCTGTCCACACAGGCGCTCGGATATTGGTCTCTAACAGTGGTGTGCTTTGGACCCACCGTCACTGCAGCGGTGAGGGCTAGATTTACTATTTTTACTTACACAGAGTAGTACCATCGTCCTGGAGCACGGCTATTTAATCAATGAGACTGGTTGCACAGTAAGACACTAAGGGTGTGTCTACACGACATCGTAACTCAAAATAAGATACTTATTGAGCTATGCAAATTGCATATCTTATTTCAGTGCTATTCCAAAACGTTCCTTGCTCCTCGTAGAATGAGGTTTACAGGGACGTCGGAATAGTGAGCCCGAAATAACGCGATTTTGGGATACTCTGGTGTCCCAAAACAGCGTTGCAATGCAGACGTACCCTAAAGGTAACTGGATCTGTCCCTAAATGAACCTCACCCATCACCCCAATAACAGTTTTATTGCTGTGGAACTTACTAAAATTGAACTTAACTATAGTTTTGTTCCCACCTCAGCCAATGGGTTAACTATTGCAACAGGTGGCTTGTTTTTGGTTTGGTCATGATACCCCTCAATGCACTCCACTTCTGGTAGAAGTTTCATGTTCAGTGGAGGGTTCACTGGAGGATTTTCTGCAACAGGTACTTTGTATGTGCTGAAGAAATGACAGTCAGCTCTGAACTACGGGGTTATAATGCCATGAGGACTGTCAGATGATCTCAAAACATTGCAGTAAAGGACACATGGCTTGTGTAGCTATCGGAGCCACAAGAAGCAAGGGCGTCCGCTTAGATCAGAACCACAAAGTTGACTGATTCAATAGACCTACTCTTGGATACCGTCAAATGACAGAACACTAGAACTGGAAGGGACCTCGAGAGGTCATCGAGTCCAGTCCCCTGCCCTCACGGCAGGACCAAGCACCATCTAGATCATCGCTGCCATATGTTTATCTAACCTGCTCTTAAATAACTTCAGTGTTGGAGAGTCAACAACCTCCCTTGGAAATTTATTCCAGTGTTGAACCACCCTGGCAGGTAGGAAGTTTTTCCTAAAGTCGAACCTAAACCTCCCTTGCTGCAGTTAAAGCCCCTTGCTTCTTGTTCTATCCTCAGAGGACAAGAACAATTTTTCTCCCTCCTCCTTGTACCACCCATTTAACACACTTGAAAACTGCCATCATGTCCCCTCTCAGGCTTCTCTCTTCCAAATTAAAAAACCCAATTCTTTCAGCCTTCCTTCATAGGTCATGTTCTCTAGACCTTTCATCATTCTTGTTGCTCTTCTCTGGACCCTCTCCAATTTCGCCACATCTTTCTTGAAACGCGGTGCCCAGAACTGGACACAATACTCCAACTGACCAGTGTAGAGTAGAGCAGAAGAATGACTTCTCGTGTCTTGCTCACAACACACCTGTTAATGCATCCCAGAATCATGTTTGCTTTTTTAGCAACAGTGTCACACTACTGACTCATATTTAGCTTCTGGTCCACTATGACACCCTTTCTGCCGTACTCCTTCCTAGACAGTCTCTTCCCATTCTGTATGCGTGAAACGGATTGTTCCTCCTTAAGTGGAGCACTTTGCATCTGTCCTAATTGAACTTCATCCTGTTTACCTCCGACCAGTTCTCCAGTTTATCCAGATCACTTTGAAATTTGGCCCTACCCTCCAAAGGACTTGCAAGCCTTTACAACTTGATACCACCTGCAAACTTAATAAGCGTACTCTCTATACCAATATCTAAATTGTTGAAGATACTGAGCAGAACCGGTCCCCAAACAGACCCCTGCGGAACCCTACTTGTTATGCCCTTCAAGCATGACTGTGAACCATTAATAATTACTCTCTGAGAATGGTTATCCAGCCAATTATGCACCCACCTTATAAGTAGCCCCATTTAAGTCGTATTTCCTTAGTTTATTGATAAGAAGGTCATGCGAGACCGTGTCAAATGCCTTACTAAAGTCTAGGTATACCACATCCACGCTTCCCCCTTATCTACAAGGCTTGTTAGCCTATCAAAGAAAGCTCTCAGATTGGTTTGATATTTGTTCTAGATAAAGGCAAGAGGCTACCTCAAGGGCCACAGCTAATTGCCCAGAAATGCAGGATCCTGCCAGGCAAAGCTGGAGTTGTTCCATAGTGTATTTACTAGCAACCAGCATGTTAGGCCGTGGTTCCCCTGGGGATACACAGAGGTCTTCCAGGAGGTACATTAACTCCTCTAAAGATCTGCCTGCTTTACAACCGGCTACATAAAAAGCACTAGCAAAGTCAATACACAGTAAAATTTCATACCATGACTTGTTATACTGCTTTATATGCTATCCACTGAAATGTAAGTACACTACTTATATTCCAGCTGATTTTAGAATTACATGGCAAAAACGAGACAGTCGGCAGCTTTTCAGTCCTAGCGGGCTGTGGCACTTTTGCATTTAGTCGTCTGATTTTGCAAGCACGTCGCTTTGAAGTGAAGGGAAACTTGGGGGATACACAAGACGAATCAGACTCCCAAAGGGGTACAGTCGTCTGGCGAGATGGAGAGCCGCTGCTGAGAGGCACACTTTCATAATACAGTCACCAGATTCAGCACTTCTCAGCTGGCTCCCAGCCCCCTCCAGGACTGGGCCCGCAGTGCGAACAAGTAATAAGCATTCGATTCCTCTGACTTACCGTCACTTCCAGCAGGCAAAACTTCTGGCTGAACTCTTATGAAAAAAAATAAACAAAGCTTCCGAGTCCAGCAATATTACCCAAGGCTTCAGCTACGCACGCGCAATGTCACAGAGCCAGTGCAGAGCACCAGGTTAGTCAAGCTGCCAGGAATTTTAGATTCCTCATCTGCAACGCACAGCAAGCATGCAAGCAATATACTCGTTCTGAGCAACTAGGGGCTATTCTCCTGGTGTCCCACTTCCAACCCTCAGAGATCCCCATCTCCCTCAAAGCTCCGGAGCCCAAGAATTCATTTCCCAGCCTCCTTCAGCCCTTCCAAAGATTCGGTGCCCCACAGCCAAAGTGCGCAAGAATAGAGGCCTCGTGGTTGGATGCTCAGTCTACAGAAAGGCACAACGGTGTTGATCCTTCCCAGCATTTTGGCTCCCAACTCTCATCGGATTTCAGTAGGAGTTGGGCATCTCAATACCTTCAAGGATCTGAGCCGAAGGACGTGTGCTCCTAAGCCACTTAGGAGCTTCTGAAAATCTCATACTCCTGCGCCACATTTGACTCTGATTATTGAAAACTGGGGCCCGCCCCTGCGACCAGCCTCCCTGCCCGGGGGGAAGCAACGTGAGCTGGGTTTCTTTTAGCCATCCCAATTGTTCTCCTTCTTTGCAACAGGGCAGGTGCTGCAACACCTGAATTCCTGCATGGCTCCTGGGTCCCTGGGTGGGTGCATGAACGTTCCTCTGGCTGTCACCCCGATCAGGCGGGGTACCGCCTTCAGCAATCTCACTCAGCCATAGCATGCTGAGTCCCACAGCAGGGATCGTGCATCAGCGCGCCCTTCCTTCTAGGGATGTGAAAATCGGTTAAAATTGTAACCGTGTAACCGTTGCACATACTAGCGGTCACACGTCGCTTTATATTGCAGTGCCTGCAGCATGGGGTGACAGCTGGCTCCCCGGGAGCGGGGCCAGCAGCTGGGAGCCGATCTGCGCCAGGAGCTGGCTTATAAGGTGGCTCCCGGCACGTTTCAGCTCTCGGGGAGCCGACTTTGCTGCAGGCTCTGCAGTATAAGCTGGAAGCAGGAGCCGGCATGTAACAAAAAAGGGAAAAACTGATGCTTATCGGTTAACCATTTACACGGTCACACTCTGATATCCCTACTTCCTCCAGGGAGACTCTGGCAGGCTCCAGCCAGTTCCTGGCCCCAGCCTGGCCTCTCTGAGCCAGAAGCCTGCTCTCCTTTTCAGTCAGCCCCCAGCTGAGCTCAGCCCTCCGCTCCACACCTGACCCCCACTGCAGGGATAGCCCAGTGCTACCCATTAACCCTTTCCTGGCCAGTGTAGGGTGTGACTAACCCATCGCGTTCTGCTTCTCTCCATCCTGTTTCACAAAGGGTTGACATCATGCCAATCAAAGCTCAGCCGGATTAGGGGAACGGAGGCCAATGCCTCTGTCATTCCTAACTCAGCTACTATTCTCGCATTGCCGCATCACCAGACTCCATTCTTTTTGGGGTGCTCAAGAACTCAAACTCTTGCTTACACTGGCTATTGAGATCATTCACGTAATCCGAAATGTCGTTTTTCTTCGCTCCTTTGCGCAAGCCATGTGTGGCCTTCGGACTATGTCTTCTGAAACGGACAGGCAAAAGCCTCTCAAACCAGCTGTGATCCTACCTATTTCTGTCATTCTCAGGCAGTTTTCACCTAGACAGAACCGAAGGCTGTGTCTACACGGGGAAAGGTTGGCGACAAAAGTGCTGTCGACATGCAAAAGTTGCCAAAAGTGAAAACTGGCCAAACTGATTTTTCTGCCCCACATTTTCGACATTCCCTGGCCACATCGCTAGCTCCCTGTCAACAGAAAGAACAAAGCAGTACTGACGAGCATCCCACAGGGCAGTGCTGTGGGAAAGCAACTGATCCCTGTGCTTCTTGGGATTCCCACATAGCTCTGTGAGCTCTCTATGCTGAGGAAAGTCAAAAAGGCACCGCAGTTTCTCCAGCCCTCCCCCTGCAGCAGCAGACAGACTGCCGCTGTGTTCCTAGCAGGGTAGAACAAAAGCATTCTAATGATTTGCTCTTTGTTTGTTCCCCAAATGGAGCAGCTCACTCAGCTGTCAGATACTCCTTAGACCAGGCATGCCCAAAGTCCGGCCTGCGGGCCAATTGCGGCCCGTGTTCCGATTTAATACGGCCCCCGCTTCCTCCCCCTCTCCTGGCTCCCCGGCGCTCTTTTGAACTGGCGCGCCCAGCTCGCCGCCGCCGCCGCCCATGGCCTCCGCGGTCCTAGAGCCTGCCCTGTAGGGCACGTCCGCAGCCCCACTCTCCCGCTCGGCTGCGGGTTCGCCCTGCCCCCGGGCCGCCGTGAGGCCGGCGTGCCCTGCGCTCTCCGCCCGCCTCCGACCCTGCGGGCCCTCCGCCTTGGGGCTGAGAGTGCGGGGACGGCCCTCACGCATGTTCACTTCTTCACATCTGGCCCTCTTTGAAAAAAGTTTGGACACCCTTGCCTTAGACCTTTGAAAGAGGAAAGGGTGCATGCCTGCAGGGCAGCAGAGATCACAAAGCACTGAGCAGAGCCATCAGGGAAGGCATTGTGTGATACTGGCAGAAGCCAGTTCTCTGGACAAAACAAACAGCAGAGTCCACACTGGCTCTTTGTCAACAATAAAAGGAGGGGAAAAGACAAAAGTCTCTCGCAAGGCTGGAAGTTTTTTGTTGCTAAAACTGGGTGTTTTTCCCAACACAAGTCACATTGCAGTGTAAACATTCTCATTCTTTCATTGCCAAAAGGCAGGTTTTGGGGACAAAATGTGCCAGTGTAGACAAGGCCTTAGCAATGGGATGGATTGCTGCTCTTCCTGGATGCAGAATAAGGGGAGCATTAGAATGCAGAGATCTGGATTTTGGCCTCCAAAGATGAAGCCCCATGATGATAATGCAGCAATGGGCTTGAATCCCCATCGCCCTCAAGCTTATTTTGTCATGCTCCAAAACGGAGGCGGAAAAGCCAGCTCGCTGAGTGGACAGGCAGCTAATTATCCGAACAGCCACAAAACACCTGCACCAAAGAGACAAAGGGTGAAAGAGACCAGACCAGTGAGAACATAGGGCCAGACGTGGGGAAGGATTAGAACATGGGCTCTCCCATTCAGGGGAGATCTGAGCATGTTCAGTTTGCTAAGGGGAGAACTGGCCCTATAAAACCAGAATGGCCAAGGTCTCCAGAGAGAAAGGGATAATTTCCCAGCATGAAAATCCCGCAGAGAACACCGGGCATGGTGCGGGGGGAAGGGTGGAACAGAGAGAGCGAGGGCAGTCAGCTTCAGTCCAGGTGCACATGCTTCCTACAAACCAAGCAGCAAATCTGGGGGAGGGACATGACCCCCCCCCCCCCCCCCCCCCCCCCCCCACAACTTCCAGAGCCAGGCCCGGCCACAGAGGAGCAGCCTGACTCACGAATCCGTAGCCAACGTCTCAGGGAGCGTCTCCCTCCGAGCCCTAGACCACGCTGGAGAAAGCACTGTCACCCCCGAGCTAAACCATGCAGCAGGATCATCCTGCTTCCGTAACAGGCCGCGGTGGGGCTGGAACCGGAGCAGAGAGCATGGCTGGCTTCCGAGGGCGAGACCCTAATCTCAGCTTTCCCTGGCTCTTTTGCCCAGGCTGTGGTCGGCATACGGACCCACCCGCACAGAGCCAGCCCTGCCTTTGGGATTGCTGGACAGCTCCGTTGTAAGGCCCCCTGCTGGGAGCACACACACATCATTTCAGTGCCCTGCCTGCTTTTCCTGGACAACCTGCAATCCCAGCCTGAAGATGCTGTACCCCTACTCCCTCCCCCTCCCCCAGCCCAAGATCCTTCACGGAAGAGGAAGGACTTCACAGCACATCTCCCACAACCTGCCCCTGTGGCTGCTTTGACCACTAGGACTGTTCTCTTTCAGCCGGCCAGAGCACCCTGCTCCCTTGTGTCCCACTAACTCCCTGCCCTGGGGCACTGCCTAGGCTAGAACCAGCAGCTCGAGAGGGCACATTTAAGCCAGTGCCCTGTATGCCACACTTCACCCTCCCAGGACGATGCATCCAGGTAACCTACCAGGCAAACCCCCACCTAGGGTAACCAAGTATTGAGTGTGAAAAATCAGGAAGGGGTTAGGCGCCTATGTAAGAAAAAACCCAAATATTGGGACATCTGGTCACCAGTGTTCCCTGTAGGCTGTGCACATGGGAGTCCACCCAGGAGCGATTCAAATGCCACCCCGCTGATTAGAAGAGCTGGCAGCATGTGTTTCTCCAGGTGGTGCACCTTCACGTAGGTCTCCGCATGTACAACAACATTTATTCTGCACACAAATGGAAAAAAACAGAGGGAATACTGCTGGTCACCCTATTCCCACACCAGGAAGGGAAATCCAGCCGTGGCAGCCTGTTCCCTCCTTTCCCACTGGTTTAAGGGCATGCCACGCTGTTCTTCATTTTCAATTCTTTGGCGCCACCTAGTGGCTATGAGACCACCCACAGACATTTCATGTTGCTAATTATGAGACCTCAACCGGAACCGGTTTTTGTGTTTCATGGGGAAATTCCATGATCTCGAAATGTGTTTTGTTCCAAAATGGGGCATAACCAGAAAGTGTCACAATTTCCCAGGAAAAGAAATTTCAGGAAAAAAAGTGGTTTGGGGGTGGACTGAAACATTGGGATTTCATTCCAATTAGGATATAAATACCCAGTGAAAGAGGTAACCGGTTAAACGATATAATTTCAATTGTTTAACCATTTCACTGTGGAGGGCTGGTGGGCTGCACTGCAGACAGGGGGGGCTGATCTGGCCCCACCAGTCCTGCCTCACCACTTCCTGCTGGCCGGGCCGCTATGGGCAGCGGGTTCCTCCCATTGGCCAGGCCCTCCAATAAACCGGTTTACCAAGTAAGCATGCCAGTAAGGCTACTGCTTGCTGGGTAACCAGGTAACCTTTTATATCCGTAATTCCAACTCTGAACTTTTATAACTTTTTACATGTACAGAAAAAACAAGTCCTGTGGCACCATATGGACTAAGGGTATGTCTATACTACAGCATTATTTTGAAATATCTACTTTTGAAACAGTTATTTCGAAATACTTTATTTCAAAATAACATGTCTACACACAAAATGCATTTCAAAATAGCTTTTTGCTATTTCAAAATAGCACGTCTACACTGATTGGACGCTGAATCACATTTAAGGCCAGCCAGAACTGGTACCAGCAGGGCATCAGGTCAGAAATTACCTTGTGGCCAGGGCGGCCAGCAGGGCACCCTGGGAAGGGCTGGAGGCCCCCTATTTTGAAATAAACATCTACACAGCACTTATTTCGAAATAGCAATTTCAAAATTGGCGCTATTCCTCGTGGAATGAGGCTTTACCAATTTCAAAATCAGCTCTTCACTGTTTCGAATTAATTTCAAAATAGCAGTTGGCTTGTGTAGACATTAGGATTATTTCGGAATAAGCTATTCCGGAAGAAATACTTTGAAATAGCTTATTTTGAAATAGCATGTCTACACGACAGGGAAGCGTGGAAATTAGTCCGAGGCAGGCTCCCCTAATGTGGATGCGCTACCTCAATTTAGAGCCCCCAGAAACACTGGGGAGTAATTACTTTGAATGGCCTGAGGAGGAACTATTTCAAAATAGCAGCAGTGGAGCGTCCACACTACCGCTATTCCGAAATAGCTATTTTGGAAGAGGCGTTATTCCTTGTGGAACGAGGTTTACAAATGCCAAAATAAGCTGCCCGTTATTTTGAAATTATTTTGAAATAACAGGCTTGCTGTGTAGACGCCCGCATAATAACGGACGTTATTCCAGAATAACGCTTCTGTGTAGACGTACCCCGACTTAGCAGGGAAGGAGAGATAATAACTGACAGCATCAAGGAAGCTGAGGTGTCCATGTTGCTTCAGTCTCTTTGGCCCAAGGTCTGCCATTTGGCTGTACATCTGTACTGCACCAAGCACATGGGGCCCTGATGCCTGGGTGGGGCTCGGGAAGCATCTATCATGCAAGAAACAAATAAGAGTAGACCCTGATTTTAGCACTTTCATGCTCACAGGGAGAGTCCAGGCTTTGAGAGCCTCCCCCTTGTGGAGTCGCAGAGCACAGATGCCAGACTGGATCCTAATGTCTATGCAAGAATTTTATAGTCCTACAGCAGGGGTGGGGAGCCTCAGGCCCGGGAGCCAGATTGTGCCCCCCGCTCACCTGAATCTGGCCCCCGAGGCTCAAGGGCCCCCCCGCATTGGGGAGCCAGAACTGGTGCTCCAACCCCCTCCTGCTGCCCCACCGCAAGACTGGAGCACACAACATCTACTAGGCTGCCCCCCCTCCCAGACTCTGAGGTATGAGAGGAGTGTGGGGAGGGTCTTTCTCCTTCTCGGTCAGGGGCCAAGTCAATGAGGGTTTGTTTGGTCTTTTTTGCTTCTCACTTGTGTGCAGCCCCCCACCCGCCCTACAGCCAGAGCCTCGCAAGCCTGGATCAGCAGACCTAGGCAAGGCCTTTCATAGCAGCGCCGACATGACAAGCCTGCGCAACAGCAGCCCCCAGGAGTAGGTAGGCGTGTGTACACATACTGGATGCAGTCCACGCCTCGCAGCACTCAGCACGAGCTTGGCCAGGATTTCACAGCCATTAAAGGAGAACAGGATCCAGGGCATGCTCTGGCGCATTGGCACGGTACCTTTTAATTCAACGGCCACCTCCCCGTACGACTGCAGCGCCGCCAGAGACACCGCTTCCCCTGCAACAGACAAAAGACACTGTCACTGGCCACGTATCACACGTAGTCTGTCCGCGGGGGAGAGGGGGAGTTGTGTTAGACTGTGAATGGCTCGCTAACTACAAAAGCAGCTTCTCCTCTCTTGGAATTCACACCTCCAGATCAGCTACTAGAAGTGGGTCTCATCCTCCCTGATTGGATCCACCTCCTCATCTCCAGCCTGATCCTGGCCTGCATATTTATACCTGCCTTTGGAAATTTCCACTACATGCATCTGACGAAGTGGGTCTTTGCCCACGAAAGCTTATGCTCCAACACTTCAGTTAGTCTATAAGGTGCCACAGGACTCCTTGCCGCTTTTGCAGATTCAGACTAACAGGGCTACCCCTCTGATACTTGATATATATACAGGGCTCGACAAATCAGTGTATCTACTCGTTGTGGCAAGTAGATTTCAGCCAGTCACCCCATTCACCGGCGGTGCGCACATGTGCAATGTGGGTCCGGCGTATGCGCAGTGCGGGGCTGGCAAATGGATTTTGCCACGGTTTGTCGAGCCCTGTACGTATATGTGCGTGTATATATACATACACATATACACACATCCCTCTCTCATAGAGGTGGAAAGGACCTTGAGAGGTCATCGAGTTCAGTCCCCTGCCCTCATGGCAGGACCAAATACCATTCCTGACAGATTTGCCCCAGATCCCTAAATGGCCCCCTCCAGGATTGAACTCACCCTGGGTTTAGCAGACTAATACTCAAGCCACCGAGCTATCCCTCCCCCTAGACCTGAATTACGTTTATGGTGAGTAAAGATGCCTGGCAGAGACATCGTCTCAGTTACCGTTTCAATGGAATAAATATAGGCACTAAATAAACAAATGGGCATGCACGGAATGACGGACGAGTGGACTGTACTCACAACTGGCATAGAACAGCACCGCCGTGTGGGCAGACGCCATCAGAGCAGCGTCAAACGTTTCCTCCGTTAGGGTTCGGATGAGGTCCAAAGGAAGTTCCCACTTCCTGTCTCTGTAAACAGCTTCCATCACCGGGTCATCTTGAATATCTGCAACATATCCACAAACACATCACTGTGAACACACAAACACGGCAGGAACGCAACATTTGACAGGGTATGAACAGCCCAACGCAAAATATGATGCATTTGGTGTATTCCAGTAGCACTAGGAGGCACCTGTCAAGGTGTGGGCCCTATTGTGCAAGGTGCTGTACACATATACAGCAAAGGCAGCCCCTGTCCCAAAGAGTTAACAGTCTCACTATGCGATGAGACATGAGGTGGATGAGACAGAAAGATGGGGAATAAGAATGAGACTGTTCTGATCAGTCAGGTCTCGTTACTGATCTTTAACACTATTTGACTAGGACCTCTGAGCTTCACCAAAAAAGTCCAGCGGAGGGGAACAAAAATGATGAGGGGGCTGGAGCACATGACTTGAGGAGAAGCTGAGGGATTTGGGCTTATTTCGTCTCCAGAAGAGTGAGGGGGGATTTGGTAGCAGCCTTCAACTGCCTGAAGGGGAGTTCCAAAGAGGATGGAGAGAGGCTGTTCTCAGTAGTGACAGATGGCAGAACAAGGAGCAATGGTCTCAAGTTGCAGTGGGGAAGGTCTAGGTTGGATATTAGGAAAAACGATTTCCCTAGGAGGGAGGGGAAGCACTGGGATGGGTTCCCTAGGAGGGGGTGGAATCTCCATCCCTGGAGGTTTTTGAGTCTCGGCTTGACAAAACCGACTGGGTTGATTTAGTTGGGGTTGGTCCTGCCTTAGGCAGGGGGTTGGACTTGATGACTCCTGAGGTCTCTTCCCACCCTAGGATTCTATGACTGGAACCACACAGCTTTACGCCAGCTGAGGATGTGAGTGTTGATCTAGGAATCCCGTCCACGCTTTTGTTTGCCTCAGACTCAGACCCGGCTGTTTCTTCCTTCCTTTTGGCAGTTTCCATTAGATCCCATGTGAAATAACTGGGAAACGTGAGTCACTTTCTAGAATTGTATTTTAAAGACAGGTTTACCCGGCCCATGCTCTGTACGGCCCACAGAATGAGCCAGGCACACTTGGTCGCTCAAAAGGCAGCAGCTTCTACTCTCAAAAGGGGCTCCAGATTTTAGGGGACTGACTTGAAATACCTCAAAGAGGCTGGTTTTCTGACAGCAACACGCACCCGCCCTCAGAAAACCTTGTGTCTCAATTTGGACACTTAAAAATGTAGGCACCGGAACTCCAAAGTCATTTTGGATTATGTCTTCCAGTGCAAACACGGTACTTCTATAGCCTTCTGAAGGTCTCTAGCAAAGAGACACTAGTTGTATGATTAACATGCCTTAGTAATTAACTAGCCCTGACTCAGTACGAAAAGGAGAATTCCAAACACCACTTACCCTGGTCGTTATTGTCTCTTTCATCTTCATCTTCCTCGTCTTCACCTTCCTGGACTAGTTCACCCTTTATGTTGTCTTCCACCAGGGCTATTATTTCCTCAGTGTCATCCAAAACCAGGTATTTGATCGGCACACCCTGGGGAAAACCAAATACCAGCTGGAACACAGGGCGGTCATTTGCACTTGTGCTCTAAAATGCAATATATAATGGCGTCAATGCAGCACTCGGCGTGCAATGCAACGGCACCATATGGCCATTTTTTGGTGGGCTGGCTGGCTTTGGGCCCATCAATCTAGGGCTGCAGGATATGGCTTCACAGTCACACATTTGGCAGCCCTGCCGCGCAGCTGGAACGTCCGGCAACCAAGTTGAGATGACTCTGCAGTTCCGCCTCCTATTCCCAGGGTCATTGTGGCATCTGCTAGGTGACTCTCCTCTTCTCTTCTCCTATTCACCGTTATTCCTATTCGGCCGTTATTCCAAAATAACAATGCGAGCATCTACACCGCAACTGCATTATTTCAAAAGAAATTCGAAATAACGGGCGGCATATTCCGACTTCTGCAAACTTCATTCCACGAAGAATAACGCCTCTTCTGAAATAGCTATTTCGGAATACAGTCGTGTGGATGCTCCAATGCTGTTATTTCGAAATAGCTGCTCCCCAGGGCCAGTTGAAGTAATTACTCCCCAGTGCTTTGGGGGCTCTAAATCGAGGAAGCTCGTAAACATTAGGGGATCCTGCCTTGGACTAATTTTGAGAGTTCCCTGTTGTGTAGATGTGCTATTTCAAAATAAGCTATTTCCGAGTATTTCTTCTGGAATAGCTTATTTCAAAATAAGCGTTCCGAGTAGACTTACCTTTCGGGTATGTCTAGATTACATGCCTCTGCCGACAGAGGCATGTAAAATAGGCTACCCGACATAGTCAGTGAAGCAGGGATTTAAATATCCCCAGCTTCATTAAAATAAAAATGGCCACCGCGCTGTGCCAGCTCAGCTGATCATCGGCACAGAGCGCAAGTCAACAAGGGACGCTTTTGTCAACCGCTCCTGTAAACCTCTGAGCCGGCACAGCGCGGCAGCCATTTTTATTTTAATGAAGCTGGGGATATTTAAATCCCTGCTTCACTGACTATGTCGGGTAGCCTATTTTACATGCCTCTGTCGGCAGAGGCATGGATACTAGACATACTCTTCAAGACTAATAAATATACATATATATTCGTGGGTACAACCCACTTCTGCCCATGAAAGCTCATGATACTATATAAATATATTTGCTAGTCTCTAAAGTGCCACAGGACTGCGTATTGTTTTTAAAGTTACAGACTAGCACGGCTCCCACCCTGAGCCTTTAAAAGCCCATGTTTCTACCAATATAGGGGATTCTCATCCCTGTGTTTTGCCACTGCAATGCGGTCCAGCCACCAGCACTGATGAATAAGAGCAGGCCTATTTTTCAAAATGCTCCTGACTGTTGCCTTATCTCTCAGGAACCAGAGCCTCTTTTCCCTCCAGCGACCGAACTGCGGGTGTTTGGCTGCCAGCCTCAGTCGGGAGGCTACGTTCGTGTCCCACGAACTGCCAAAGGCTGCCACCCGTCTAACACCTGCTTCTGCAGACGTCGCCCAATTACACAACGCGTTAACTGGAAACTCCACTGCGCAGGTGGATAACATCGCCCACCCGTGTCAGACACACTGCTGGGGCCAAGAGCAGGTCCCCGGAGATACTGAAGTGCTGTAAAGAAACCCGGATGCATTATTGGCCTTCCCAGAAAACAAAAATGTGAACGTCTGCAGCAGGGTAGTCACAGCCCTGACACGGAGAAGGAGTCTAGCACAGAAAGGTCACCTGTTCCAAAAACCTTTCCTTCCCCAAACGTAGACAGACGCCTGCTTCCGCTACTACAAACCATGTGACGCAAAGCAGGCCCTTTGCTTTATGAACATCTACCGTCCTAAGGGGCATTTTTGTGCAGCAGCACGAAATGCCTCTATTAATGTTTATGTACTGAGCCCTGCCAAACATGTCATACACCCGTGAAATACGCCCTTCCCTGCGAAATCTGATGCCTCCTTGTTCCTAGGAGCACTCCATTAAAGGGGGCTTCCTACCACCAGCTGGGCAGACGAAGGACAGGACCTATCCCTCCTCTGCAAACTGCTCTGGCGGTGGGAGGGAGGACCAAACCAGACCCACACCCCTTGCTATCAAAGGTCTCTTTACAGTCCAGATCCACAGATACAGACAGACATCATCTTTCTATCCAAGTGCAAGAAAATGGACATCGTACCCAAAGGACTGAAAGTGAACAATCCACTAAGATCAACATACTTCACTGACTACAGTGAAAGACTCTGCCTCACACTATCCAAGAAATTAAGAAACCACCTGATAAGTATTTTATACAAGAAACAGAAAACCATCAAGAATGACATTTCTAACTTAGATCGTCTCATCTCAAGACAAACATCCACACCGACTGACACCTTGCAAGACTTTTGTTCCACCAGACAAGAAATCTACTATACACACTTCTATTCCCTACAACAAAGAAAAGACAATAAATTTCCTAACCTGCTCCATACCACTGGCTACAACAGCAACTGCCTCAACCCACCGGATAATATTGTTAACCTCTCCAGCTACAAACTCAATCCAGCAGAAGAGTCTGTCTTGTCCCGGGGTCTCTCTTTCTGCCCCACATCCCCCACAAACTGGATACAATTTTGTGGTGACCTTGAGGCTTTTTTTCGCCGCCTCCGTCTCCGAGAATATTTCCAAACCACCACTGAACATCAATCTGACCTACCAGATCCCCCCTACCAACACCAAAGGAAAAATAATTCTATATGGACTCCCCCTGACGGTCGGAATTACAATCTGGATTTCTATATACACAGCTTCCGCAACAACGCACAGACTGACATTATTCACAAACGACAACAAGCGACACACAATCTTAGCCGCGCTGAACACCATGCCATCCAGAGTCTCAAAAACAACCTGGACATTGTAATCAAACCAGCTGACAAAGGGGGTGCTGTGGTCATTATGAATAAGGCCGACTATAACCAGGAGGCAACCAGACAACTCTCGAACACCACATTTTACAAACCTCTCCCCTCTGATCCCACCTTGGACTACCAAAAGAAACTACACTGTCTCCTTAAAAGCCTCCCCACAGCTACTCGGGAACAAATCCTCACAGAATCACCTTCTGACCCCCGACCAGGATTGTTCTATCTACTTCCCAAGATCCATAAACCTGGGCACCCCGGACGTCCCATCATCTCTGGTATTGGCACGCTCACTACTGGTCTATCCAGCTATGTAGACACTCTTCTCAAACCCTTCGTAACCAATACCCCCAGCTATCTCCGAGACACTACTGACTTCCTAAGGAAACTACAAAACATCGATAACCTCCCCAATAATACCATCCTTGCCACCATGGATGTAGAAGCTCTATATACCAACATCCCACATGAAGACGGATTACAAGCAATTAGAAACACTATCCCAGAGGACACTACTGCCAACCTGATAGCAGACCTATGTAACTTTGTTCTCACCCACAATTATTTCCGGTTTGAGAACAACTTATACCTCCAGATCAGCGGCACAGCCATGGGTACACGCATGGCCCCACAGTATGCTAACATCTTTATGGCTGACCTAGAACAACGTTTCCTCAACTCCCGTCCCCTTTCACCCCTCCTCTACCTACGGTACATCGATGACATCTTTATGATCTGGACACATGGCCAAGAAACACTGGAGATATTCCACAGAGATTTCAACAACCTACACCCCACCATCAACCTCAGCCTGGACCATTCTACACGAGAGATCCACTTCCTGGACACCACCGTACAAATCAACAATGGAAAATTAGACACCACTCTCTACAGAAAACCCACTGACTCATACAGTTACCTACATGCATCCAGCTCCCATCCAGAACACACCACACGATCCATCGTCTATAGCCAAGCCCTTCGATACAACCGCATCTGCTCTAACCCCACTGACAGAGACCAGAAGCTTCAGGATCTCTACCAAGCATTTATAAATCTCAACTACCCACCCAGAGAAACAAAAAAGCAAATTGAAAGAGCCAGACGAATACCTAGAAACCATCTACTTCAAGACAGACCCAAGAAAACCAACAATAGAACACCACTTGTCATCACCTACAACCCCCAACTTAAACCTGTCCAACACATTATCAATAAACTACAGCCTATATTGGAACAGGATACCATACTCAAAGAGGCTCTGGGAGACAGACCCATAGTCTCCTATAGACAACCACCTAACCTCAAGATGATTCTTACCAACCACCACAGGACATACCACACTAATACCAACCCTGGTACCTTCCCTTGCAACAAACCCCGTTGCCAGCTTTGTCCACATATTCATTCTGCTGATACCATTATTGGACCTAACCAAGTGAGTTATAAGATCAAGAACACATATTCCTGCGCATCCAGAAATATAATCTACGCTATCATGTGCCGAAAGTGTCCGTCTGCTATGTACATTGGACAAACATCTCAGACACTTCGCCAAAGGATTAATGCCCACAAAACAGATATCAGACAAGATCACAAAGAGAAAACAGTTTCTTGCCACTTTAACCAGAAAGGACACTCTCTAAATGACTTAGCCACCTGCATTCTGCTACAAAGACCTTTTACATCTGCACTTGAAAGGGAATCCTCTGAACTGTCATTCATGTTAAAATTCGACACTTACCAACAAGGACTTAACAAGTCTTTGAACTTTCTCACCCATTACCAAGACAGTTTCCCCAATTATCACCTGTAATACCATTAACTCACAAACATCCCACTCTCCCTACCTTTAATATCAGCAATTCACAGACACTTACCTTCCTTCCTCCCCCTTCCCACCCCCCCGCATCCCCCTTCTGTTCTGCAATGTGATTTGTCCTTTTCATATTTGTTCATTTTTTTAAATTGTATCCTTTGGTATATATGGTTGTGACTACTTTCTTCCACTATTTGATCTGAGGAAGTGGGTCTGGCCCACGAAAGCTCATCATCTAATAAACCATCTTGTTAGTCTTTAAAGTGCTACATTGTCCTGCATTTTGCTTC